AGGGAAAGAAAAAAGGATCAAGAATAAAAGGCCAAACAATGAGAAAATCGTGAAACAATTGTGTTACCTTCAGTGTTATTGTACCGACAAAACCAGCCTTGACAGTGACCGGAAGTTTCAGAGAATTTAGTGCCTCTGCCTTCAATTTCAAATCTTTAAGAACAACATCACCTGCTCAAAATTGAAAGAATAATTGCATATAAATTCATTGGCAAAAATGACCAAGATGCCTTTATTCCGGTGGTGAAGGTTAATAGCACTTAGTTTTGAAAAACATCAACGAGTATCTTTCACATTCTCCATTAAGTAGATTTCGTCCTCGGGAGAAATATTAAAAAGTTACTATTTTGAAGAATTAAAAAAGGCAGGTTGAATCCGATCATCTTTTTCGAAAGAGCTAAATACTTTTGTTCCTTGTTGCAGTTTTTTTTTTCTTTTTGTATTACTGAGGATTCCTTGTTCTTTCAAGTATTTAGCTTCTTCATGGGTTTCTATTGAAAAGCTTCCTTTTCTCTGATTTTACTGAATTGAAGATGCATATAATCATGTCTTTGAGGGTCATTTTTTTCTTTGTTTTAGAACCCTTTTTTTCTTTTTCCTGGAGATGTTGTTCTCCTATTTTCTGTTTCAATATAGCACTGTTTTCTATCACCGTAAATATGTATACGTATATATACGACCTTGTTCTCCTATTTTCTGTATCAATGTAGCACTGTTTTCTATCACCAAAAATATACACATATATGTATAAAGTATCATCAAACAAGCAGAGGAATGATTAAAAAAGGCAAACCTTTCCAGACACTGATTCTCAAAGTTTCTGCTGAGAGTCCATGGACATATTCGCCCAAAAATCTACGAAGCAAATGTAAAACCTACCACACACAAATAACACAAAAATCCATCAATTAAATAAAATATCAGGTGTTCCAAATTGATTAAACTTGCTAATCATGATCAATACAATAAAACAGCGTCCTCATTTTCATCTCAATTCGCCGAAGCATAATTGCATTCAAAAACAACAATACTTGAGTAACGAACAACCAAATTTCCGAGAAATAATCCAAAAAAAAGGAGGCAAATTTATGGAGCTCGATCAAAAGGTGTCGAATTTATGCGAAGATTACGGAAATGGAAGGAAGAGAAAGAGAAAGAGGCTTACGTGAGATTCAAACATGGCTTCGAATAATCGAAACGACGAAGAAGAATCAGGCGGAATCCACAATCCGATCGAGGAAAGCTGACCGGCGCCGGCTTCGCATTGCCATTGACGACGACGGCGAGAGATTGCAGAGTAGATCGGTCAATGAAGAAGAAGAAGAAGACGACGAGGACGAAGAAGGAGGAAAGATGTTTGATGAAATGCGTTAATGAATGAGCTGAAACCCTCCACCGGGAGACTCTGAAATCAATTTCTTTGTACACGCAGAAGAGAGAGAGAGAGAACAAGACGGTTTGAAAAGAATAAGAATATAAGAGGAAAATAAGTTCGGGACAGTTTTTTTCTTTCTCTCTGCACTAGGAAAAAAATTTATTGGTACAAAATTGTATTACATAAAATTAAAAAAGATGGAGAATATTTCACGTTACTTATAATAAAAAAACTTGATTGTTCAAAATTATATCCTATTTTTTATACCTTGTCAAAGTCAGAGATATGAGAAAATTGAGAAATGAAGATAAGAGAAAGAATAAGAATAAGAAAAATGAAGTTTGGGAATTTTTTTCTTTTTGAAAATTCTTATGTTCAAAAAATATATTTTTAGTTTAATATTTTAAATCAAGTTAAAATTGTATTCTAATAAAGAATTGTTGTACATATAACCAAACTTGTTAAGAATATGACGTCCTATAATCATGTTAATGTAAGAATTTAAAATTTTCCGCGTCGGTGCTCTGCTTTCAAGAGAATTTCTTATTTGTCTTGCTTCTTGTCTCTTTTTTCCTTTTCTTTTTTTTCCTTTTATTTTCTTTGTTTTCTTCTCCTATAGGATATAACTAGCTGTAACTTCATAATTCAATTCCCTTTTTGGGACCAACAATTATCAGGTCCCAAAATGAATTGAAGTATTACATTTTGTTTCTCAACTCTTAAACTTTTAGATAGTGGTATTTGTATTTTTATTGCACTTTATCTATTACGCATTTAATGGGTGTTGTGTTGTCCAATTATTTGTGTGTTCTAATTTGTAATGTATGCCTTTTCTATGGACCAATAATTATTATTCATATTAAAAAATGACAATTATTTATTAATGTGTCTTTTAATATTATTCATGGTAGATGTCTATGAGAGTCGTTTATTGTCATATGCTTAAAAACGACTTTCGGTTTTTAAAATAATAACTATTACGACTCAATATAAAAAGAATTACGCTAGTTCTTAAGTCGTTATGATGACACATGGGGATAGATCCAGTCATTTACAAAGTGAGGGGCCACCATCATGTCCTTTAATGTAATACGATAAAATCAAAATCTAATCAAATCCTAAACAACAAGTTTGTGTGATTAAATTATACAGTAAATATGAGAATTTTGCAATTAGAGCATACAAAATACATTATTTGCCAACATTATGTCACATTTAATTACAAGCTATATTATGACCCAAAAAAAATATCATTCCAAGCCTAAGACCGTTTGGTCTAGTGGCATCGAAAGATTTATGTGGGATGAGATTTAGACAGGATTGTGGGCAGTGGTGGAACTTTGGGTGAGCGGGCTGCCCGAAGCCCGAATTTTTTCGGGCTCGGGCGGGCAGGCCCATATGCCGGCCCATCCAAGGTATAAATTCCGGTTCGGGCTCGAGCAGCCCGAATTTTGAGACCACGCCGGAGCCCGCCGCCGTATAGGTGCCGTCGACCGCGCGGAGTTGTTTTTGAATTTTCCATTCATGCCCGATTGCCCGACCCGCCCGAATTGCCCGGCCTGAAAATAAGCCCGAAAACCAGAATTTTGCCCGAAGCCCGAGTTGCCCGAAAATATTAGTTGCTACAAATTGGGACATTCCGAGAATCGAACTCGGGACCTCTCACACCCAAAGCAAGAATCATACCAACCCAATGTCCATATTTGTTATTTAAATTTTTAACTTATTAATTAAGGTAAACACACAATTCTTTAATAGAAAGAGCAAATTTCTATTTTAGCAGTTTAATATTTCAGTTTTCACATTCTTGACCATTTTTTATAATCAATCACATGATAAAAGGATTCCTCAAAAAATAATATACACAAGGAAAGAAACACATTGCCATCACGTTTTTATTATTTTTTATTTTTAAAAAGTGTTGTTTCTATATAATGCTGGTTTTGTTCTTATAGATACTCGTGTTTTTCTACTCTATATCATTCTTCTTTCTATCTTTATCTATTTTTCTATTCACAATCTCTCCTCATCCTCTTAATTATCCTCTTTTTTCTTCCACTTTCTTCACTCTCTTTGTGACTATATATTAAAGTAACTTTCTACTTGCATACCATAGTAAATTAATAATTTATCAAAAGTCACTCAATGATTGGTTTAATAACTTCATCGCTATTTGATGATCTCTATTTTAAAAGACCAGTCACTCAATGTTGAAGCCTTGGTTTGCATTAAGGATTGGGATCGGGCCGATCAACGTATACAAGATACAATTTCACCGGCAAGCCAAGAATGGATCGATGAATTTAATCGATTAACATTTAATTTTGAAGACGATCCCTCAGCTTCAAATTAAATTGTAAATTTGTAATTTGTAAATATGTATTTACTTTTTACATTGTATTTGTAATTTAATAAACAATGTAAGTTTGTACAATATGTAATTCGTTACAAAATGATTGCACTCTTTTTTCCTTGCCAAGTTTTTATCCCAATTGAGTTTTTCTTGGTAAGATTTTTAACAAGGCAATCATGAATTACAAATTTAAAAATTAATAAAGAAATAATTTTTTTATATAGTTTGTGTGTTCATTTCAAATTGTAATATATATATATATAAATTTTAACACAAAATAACTTAATATTAAAAAAAAGTTTAAATAATTCGGGCAATTCGGGCGGGCTCGGGCCGCCTAATACAAGCCCGCGGCCCGTTCAAGGTGAAATTCGGGCTCGGGCGGGCGGCCCAAATTTCTCAGGCGGCTCAGGCTCGGATAAAAACTCAGACTTTTCGAGCGATCACGGACGGCTCGTCCAAAGTTCCAGCACTAATTGTGGGTTCGATCCTATGTTGTATCAATAAGTATATATATATATTAGTTCCAACGGAGCTTGATAAAATCTCACAATACATAACTTCGTAGTACTATTAATAGAGTATTTTTTTAAATACCTTATCATTGTTATGAAAACTAAAAAAAGAAAAACTTTAGAGAGAGAGAATTTTATTAATTTTGTGAAAGTGTATAAAATGAAGAGCCTTAGAGTTCTATTTATAGGAAAATTTTTGGCGCTATTTACAGTTACTATTTATACAATCCTTACTATTTACAGTTACTATTTGCACAATAAGATTCTGACATGAATAGTAACTTTGACTGACTTGTATGATAACTTTGACTGAGGTGGATAGTTACTATTCATAACATTCTCCCTTAGATGTCCACCATTTATGATACCTCATTAAAAATCTTGTTAGGAAAAACTTAGTGAAATAAAAACTATAGCAAAAGGACAAAGAGTACATTATTTATCTATACGAGTTTATGTTGTGATTAACGCCCAAAAGTGATGTTCACAAGTGGTCAATTGTAGCATAGAAGAGGGGTCGTATCCACAAAGAGATAACAAAATAACAAGAAAGATTAACAGAATAAGAACGTTAGAGAAAAATAAATAACAAGTGAATTAAAGAAAAAGAAGAGTTTTTGAGATTTTTGTTGCAAATAAAAAGGATAGAAGATTTGTGTGAAAGAAATTCAGTAGTAAAAATGGTAAGGTGTCGAGAATCCCTAATGTTTCGTTCACCAATTCAAGGTTTGATTCACAAAATAAAATGATCGAATAAATTAAATCTCTATGTTGACTCCAGAAATATTATCATTACAAGTTATCCAAAATCGACAATATATCAATTTGACAATATTGCAGTAAAAGACAATTTGTAACATAATTTGAATAATAAAACAATGCATGACAGAATTACATAAGAAAAGCGTGACTGAACTTATATAAAAATTGGCACACAATATTTTGAAAAGTAAATGAAAGATAAATGAGATTTAATTCATTCAGATGTAGCACAAGGAATCAAAAGCCCGAATTGGGTCACTCAACAGAAGTTCATCTCTAACCTCACTAAGAGAACTTTAGCCTAGCTTGCAAAACATTCTCACAAGTTCTAAAGAGAAAATATGAGACTGACAACAAAACGACAGAAAACTGAATATTGAAAGCTCCCTCAAACCTTAGGCAAACCCTCTTATTTATAGTGTTTAGAGGTTGCCTGTCAAATAAGAAAATAAACAATAAAAATAGAAAATTATAGAGGAAAAAGAAACAAAATAAAATTATAAATAAATTATGAGAAATTAGATATATGATTTGAGGAGGAAATCCGGTAAGATGGTTTGATTTTTGGGGAAGAAATTCGGATTCAGCAAAGGGAACACGTGTTGCATTACAATTGGATGAAAGGAGTCAATCTCGCCACGTGTCGCGTTCTGATTGGCTGGCCTGTGCTGGCGCGGTCAGAGTAGAGACAACTGTGTGGGACATTGGGGTCCCTTCGAGACAACTGGCGCACGTAGATTGGTTGAATGACTGGCAGAAAGCTGTTGCCGAGACAGCTGGCGCGCGCGGAGAGAGACTTGGGCTGGCACGCTGTCACGCGGGACCCATGCGGGAGAAGATGAGACCCACGGTGATGGCTGCGTGCAAGGAAACGCGTGCCAGCGACGCATGAGGCGCGAGACAAAATGAGAGGAAAGGGCACGGATTTTCGCGTTGACATGCGGGACCCACTTCATTTGGCTTGGCTGTGGGTGGTGTGGCTCTCTCTGATTGGCTTGGCTTGAGTGGCTCGGATGGGGCTGAAAATATGGCTTTCTTGGCTTCTTCTTGTGTAGCTTTTTACACACTTTCATCTGTAAATAATTTAGCAAAAACTAGACAAATTCTAATTAAAAATATTATGAATAAAAATAATGGAATTATTTAATTAAAGCTTAAATATTTTAATATTATATAAATCAAAAGCAGTATTTAGGGTGCATTTTCATGTACTAATCACGTTACCTCATTAAAAACATTATTAGAAAAACCCAGTGGGATAAAACCATAATAAGAGAAAAAAAATACAGCCATGTAAACCCCCCATCAAGTTGACATGTATAGGTCTTCCTCATAAATCTCACAGAGGACGTATCCCGATACTGTGGATATGTTTTCTAAATGTTGTAGTGGGAAGTGTTTTTGTGAAAATATCTGATGCATTGTTACTTGATCGAATACCTTATTCTTTTCCAGCTCTTGGGAGTGTGAGAAGAACTTCAGGTGTATGTATTTCGTTATGTCGCTTTTAATGTAACCTTTCTTTATTTGAGCAACACATGTTGCATTGTCTTCAAATGATATTGTTGAATCTTTACTGATAGATAGTCCGCAAGTTTCTTGGATATGTTGAGTCATAGGCCTCAGCCATACACAAGATTATTTTGGAACGAGTTCTAAATGCGTCCATTACTTTTGCATTTTCTTGTGGTGACTTGTTATTATTTTCTTTAATGGTATTGGTTAGACCCATTGATTTTAGATGCATTTCTACATCTATGATCCAAGACATATAATTCTTTCACGTGATGTCGAGTGCAACGAACTCAAGTTTAGTAAAATTCGACATAGTGATAATTATAACAAAATATCAATATAATAAGAATCACAGTATTACAATTAAAATTACATATTAATCATAATAGCAATAAATAAAATGGGAAATATTACAAGCATAAGTATTAAAAGGAAAACCTTAAAATCGTATGGAGAATGATCTCTAATAAAAAGAGCAAAAATATATGAGAATACATACACGTCAAACTACTCAGTAAACCTTTCGAATGATGTATAATGACAAATTATAAAAATTATAATACGTTGATGATGTAGCCCTCATTTGTATGAATATAAAATAATAGAGTATATTTATATGCCTTTCACTTGAATTAATAAAAGGTAGAATCTTGTATTATGACTAGGGCTATGATTTACTTTCTTTTGACTTTAAGATCGATGCTTGTAATTGAATTAGAACCTCATTTCTTTGAATTAATAAATGTAGACAATAGGAATAAAACATTCGTGTTATCATGTTATGAAAATTAGAAAAATGTAAAACTAAGAAGAAAAACTTTAGAGAGAGAATTTCATTAATCTTGTGTGGGTGTAAAAAATGAAGAGCCTTAGAGCTCTATTTATAAGAAAATTTTTGACACTATTTATAATTACTATTTACACATTAAGATTTTCACATAAATAATAACTTTAAAGGAAATGGACAGCTACTATCTACTGTTCATAACAATCATACAATTTTTGAAGTGAATAAGCTAATTTACTACTACTACCTCTTTGGTAACTTGTAAGGCCCTTTTGTAACCAATCATGAAATGTGGCCTAAGAGAGTGATTAGTAGCCAAGTCAATAAAAGACACTCCAAGAAGATGCTGTCAAAATTGTTCAGATGTTCTTGTTAATTTTTCTTTGTCGTTTTCCAAGCTTTTTGTTTAGAATTTACTTTACAAGCGTTCATCACCATGTTTTTTCTCCTATTGATTAAATAGAAATAATTGAATAAGAAAGGGAAAGGAACAATTTATATATTTATTATCCTCTTTAAAATTTCATTCAAGAGTTTCTTTTATGTTTTTGTTTTATTTGGCATGGAGTTAAAAAGATTTTAGGACCACCCCTGGGCCCTGTATGTCAAAGATTCAGGTGTTGTTGGTGGACCTTCTGATAATGACTTATATGTGGGCTTCACCCTATTTTGTGAATAAAAAAGGGTCTTTTACGCAAGTTGAACTTTCTAGCAAAAGAAAAAATCAAAATACTTTTTTTTTTTTTTTACGGTTAGTTTAGTTTTCGGATTTAAATTTGTAGTTATAATTATGTTATTTTAAAAAAAATTAAAAAAAGTTTCCGTCGTTAATGCTTACCCATAAAATTTAAATTATGTATTAAAACTACGAGTTTGAACTTACGAACTAAATAGACTTTTAAATATTTTCAATCTTTTCGGCAACAACACTCTGAAAAAAAATCTCGTCTTCTCCACTATCAGACTCTGCTAAAGAATGGTCTCCAACTAATTTAAAATCAGAGACCATTTTTAGGGGATTCTTTAGCTGTTTTTTTCTGCAAAGATTATTTAGCTCTGCCTAATTGTCAAAGTCTCCATCTTGTGGACTTGGACTCTTTGGAAGTCGGTTCATTTAGTGAATACCATACAAAGGTCAAACGACAACAACAAACAATTTTCTAGTTTTACGAACAAACAAAAACAATTTCCGCAAAAACAAGAAAACAGAACAGAAAAACAAAACAAAAAACAAACAGAAACACAGTGAATGTGAATACAGAACTCCTATTAGCATTTTCTCAACAAACAAACTACATTGAGCAAAAACGACATTAACTCCAACAAAAGGCTTATAAACAACAAAGCAAAAAACGACAAACATGAAACGAGAGGAGCAAAAAACGACAACATGTGAAAAGACTAGGAGATAGAAATGACGTGCAGCCTCATTAATAAATAAACGATTACATATTATGATCTAAAAATAGGAAAAAAATTATAAAATGACAGCTATGTGAAATAAACAATTTTAGCAACATGAAAGCAACTAATTAGAGACAAGACACTGAAAAGAAAATGACAGCATAATTAACGACATTTAAAATCATAAAAAAGTGAAGAATATAAAATATATTTAACAATATAAAATAAGGCAGCAATCAATGACGGGGAAAAAAAAAAAAAAAAAAAAAAACAAAACAAAGAAACGACTCTAAATTATAAACGGCAAAAAAAAAAAAAAAATAGACATAACATTGATGTCAACGGCATAAAATGGAAAACAACATGAACTGCTGATACGAGTCAGAAGCAACAAGAAAACGACTAGAAAGTGGAAGATTCGACATAAAATACAAACAAGAAGTTAACAACAACGTAAAACAACACTAACATAAATACAACAAGATCAACAATGTAGAAAGGAGAGGAAGGTAAGACGACAGTAGATGGAAACGGGCATTATGCTTCGAAAACGATAAAACTAGTAATTACTAATAATCGCAAATATTATACAATACTACTAAAGGAGTCGGAAAGTTAGGGTCCGTTTGGTTCATGGATTCAAATCATGTGATTTGAACTATTTTCGATTTACGTGTATTTTTTGTGAGAGAAAATACTGCAGCGAACCACGAATCATGATTCGAATCAGGGAGTGAATCTAGGAACCAAACGGACCCTTATTGTTCTTTGAAAAGTGGCTTTCTGATTTTGCTCTTCTCTATAAGGATTGAAATCAGTGTGATTTGAGTCATTTGATTCAGATCCATGATTTATGATTTGAATCATAATTCATAGTGATTAGAACCTTCGTTTGGATGTGTATATACATGATTTTGATTCTAACCTGAAATGTGATTCGAACCAGTGTTTGGTTGTCTTGTTTTCTGAATTTGAATCATGACCAAAATAAATGTAATTTAAGAAATTATATAATAAATATAATTCGTTACGTGTAATTTAAAAAAATATAATTCGTTATATAATAAAAAAATGAAGTACTAGAAAAAAATTATACAAATAATTATAACTCAAAATTATAACAAGCTAACTACAAAATAAATGGAAAAAATGTGAATAAAATAATAGAGGTAGAATCCCATTGCTGATTTGCACTTTCAAGCTTGTCTCCCACAGCTTCTTTGGTATTCCAGCCACATGTCATTCGCCAGGCAATCCCTAAAACGACCCATCTATGTTCGGCTAACAGTAGCTCCTGTTACTGTTGGCCCCTCAGGGACATTGCCGTCATCGTCATCGTCATCAAATCCATCACTATTGGTTGGATCTATTTCACTAACTGGTACTCCATCACGGTAGTACTGATTTAGAAGCGGGTCCCCCTCATTTACCATGTGAATAAAATTATGTAAGATTGCACATGCCACTGGAATCTTCACTTGTTTAGTCATTGGATAAGTGTTATTAGACCGCCTTAAGATAGGGAACCTAGCCTTCCAAACACCAAATGTTCGCTCTATACAATTTCGCAAGGATGAGTGTTTGTAGTTAAACATATCTCTAGGTCCCTTAAATCCACCACTTCTCCTTTGGTAGTCAGGCAAGTGGTAAGTCCACCTTTGTACGGAGCAAGAAAACAACCATTGTTTGCATATGCCGCGTCAACAAGATAGTATTTTCCTATGCAAGTTAAACGAATTTTGTTAGAATTTAGAGGTTGTAACAGGTAATAAACTGAGAATCATATGGATGGATTGAAGTCTTACCAGGCGGTGGATGTGGGAATTTGAACTTGGGTTCGGCCACCGCATCTGCAAGCACTCGTGCATCATGTGCTGAACCTTCCCAACTACTAAATATGTATGTGAACTTCATACTGAAGGAACATGCTGCCATTACATTCAGAAAGTTGAACCCCTTCCTATTGCGGTAAGCTGTCAGATTTTGAACACCAATCTGTGTACAAGGTATATGAGTCCCGTCAATTGCGCCTATATAGTCCTGCACAATAGTTCCATAATGAAAGAGGTTAGTATGTTTATAAACCAAAGTTGTGGCATACTAATAAGACTGAGAAACACAACTTACGTTAAACCATGTCCCATATCTATGACGATTGCCACGTACAAATTCACTAAGTTTGTCATAGTTGGGAGGTTTAATGAAATCATCGTGCAACGAACAAATTGCACCTAGGACGTCACTGAATCTTCATGAAATTGTCTCCCCCGAATGTTGCCATACATCTTGTGACTCACGATTAGTTTGACTTTGTGCAATGATGGTTAAAAAGACAAATACTTGTTATGGGACGTTCATGTTGTTTGTTGGTTGTAACAAACCTCTCTCTGTTAGTATTTCACAAAGAATCCTAAATGCACGTGGTCCCATACGCACCTTGTTAAACATTACAGCCTCATTAGTATTTGCTAATAACTCGTTCACTTTGTCTATACCCTTTAAAGCAGAGTTATGCATCGACCTTGGTACCCGGTCATCATCATCAACAATGGCTGCGACTGTAGCGAGGACTGTCTTTTCCGAATATATTTGTGGCATTTCGTCGTCCATAACGTTCAACGCGGTTGAAAAGATCATTACATACGTCGTCATCATCACTATTCTGGTATGGAGCATCTCGGGTAGGCTGTTGTTGTTCATCAACAACAGTAACATCTTCAATGGGTGCATCATCCGCTGCCTCTTCTCCCGCACTTGGGTGATATGCACCTAATCCAGTAGCTCCAACTCTACTGGGGAAAATGGCAGCCAAGTACGCCTCGTTCAGCTTCCATCCATTAGTAAACAATGTTTTCACATTGTGATTTCTCTAGAAATAAATTAGAGAATTGGTTAGTAACCTCTAAGTAGAGAGGTAAGTATGTAACAATTTAAATATGTCACTGTTTTTGTGAGTATAATCAATCTCATATGTTACCTTACAAAGATCTTTCTGCAGCTCCTCGGAACAGGTGAAAGTTGTAGTGGTCGAATCTCATCCTACTCCTGTATGACTTTGTAACATTTTGTACGCGGCGTATACCTTACCCAATTGTCGGCATTTCTCCCTAAGACGCTCACCATCAGGAACATAGCCATAAAAAAAGCATTCCATTTCTGATGCCCATTGATTATTGTGACGAGATTCTGGTAGGCGACCGTGGTTATCGTCGTGATATTCGTATAATCTCTCTAGCAAAAAAGCCTCTGCAGTAGGGCTCCAAAAAAGTGGCCTCTCATATCTAGTTTTCCTTAGCATCTACGCACGCATATCATAACCAAGAGCAGGACATCACATGCAAAAACGAAGGACACCACATTGACAAAATGACAACAAAACTGAAAAACAACAACAACAACAACAAACACAACACCAAACTTCTTGTTTAAAGGCACTAAACTACTCCCAAACCGGGTACAAGTTATATAAGGCATATGTTTTTCACCTTGCGGGAAACACATTCATATATATAAACTTACAGGAACTAAACTTACAAGTTATATAAGGCGTATGTTTTTCATTCACGTATGAAAATCCCCACCAGCCAAATTCCAGGAACTAATCTCTATAATTCTCAAGTGATAATATTGTTCAATTCTCAAGTGAACATAGATAATGTGGTTGCAGGCATAACTTAGCAAGAAATCTACACCTGACTTCACCACAATAACATTTTACATCAATCGTATGATTATCGTACCTGATAATTTTCCCCTTCTCTTCGGTACCAATTAGATGACTGTCTAAAAAACTAACATCACTAGAAATGGTTGGCAATAAAATGTGTCAAGCTAAAGAACAATAGGTTCATTTTCTTAACCAAAGACCCAGTTCCAAAGGCTAGTCCTGCGTATGAGCAAATGAGAAAAGCAATATATGAACTAGCATGTACAAGCGGGAGAAAGAAGTTATAATTGAAAATAATACAAAGCACGAATAAAGACAGGGCACTAAACACGGTGACAGCACAATATTATGTATCCAATTATATGGCAAGCTTGCCAGCAGACTTTTTCATCTACACCTCATAACGGACCATTTGATAATATAGGATATAGGATCTGCGTAACTTTCATTCAACAGAAATCTCCAAAACTGTCGGAACTAACCTACTTAACATCGTACCATATCTAGACTTTCTGGAATTCATTTGCTTGCTGTTGGTGTTGCTGTTGGCTTTGGAATTCATTTTCTGGATTTTTTTCCCTTTTTTTTTTATCCAAATAGAACAAGATCGAAACTCTTTAAACTTACAGGAACTATTGTAATCAAACGTAAAATAAATCAACAACCAAATTCCAAACGGATGTTGTTAGAAACAAAAATGAACTTACATGGTTATCAGGCTTTTTGAGACACAACAACCAATTGCTAGAGAACAATCCCCACCCGTCCAAATTCTAAAGCATATCAGGATTATCAAAGCAACAGCCAGAAACAAATCAAGTTCAGAAACAAATGCACCAAGATATTAGGATTACATGCTTTAGATTTTTTTGTTTTCTTTTTTTGTGTGCATTATCTAGTATTCGTCAAGCACTTGTATAACTGCTATGCACCAACATTTTCTCATTTCCAATCACAAGATATTCAATGCCAAACAAAGGCATTACATTCTGGAAAAGATCTCAGAAAAAAGAAAATGATGGTAGTCACAAACACTATCTTCAGAAACAAAAAATTGAACCCGGAATCACAACCAAGTCCAACACTATCTCCGCAAACCACAATCACAACCAAATCAAACACAGAAACCAAAGTCACAACCAAAATCACTATCCACTCACAACCAAAATCGTTGTCCACTCTCCAGAAACCAAAGTCACATCCAGAAACCAACGAAGACAAGGTGAGGAGAGCATACCGTTACAGAGTTCGAATCCGACGACGAGATGAAGGACAACGGATGCAGCACTCCAAACGCAGAAGATGGTTTCTTCTGAGTCCTCACTGACCTTCTGTCCTCTCTCCGGTGAAGGCGAGGAATGACCTTGCTTCCGTAGTATCGGTGAAATTGGTACTGAATATGGAGTTTTCTTTGATTGTTGACAAAAACTCCTTTACTCCAGCCACTTCTCATCAACGGCGACCGATGTGGAACTTGCGAACAACGAGCAGACGAGAAGAGTGGAGAAGAGAGAGTCCCAAAAAAGCTAGAGGGGAATCTCGGCTGTTCACCCACGCGAGAGGAAAAAGGACTGCAGATTCTCTGCTGAAGCATGGGAGAGGAAGCCAGTGGTCGTTAGAAGTTGGCATTAAGTGCACAGTAATTTTTACTGTGCACTGGGGTTTCAAACGGGGGGGCGCTGATGACGTTTGGTTAGAGGATTCAAATCATGTTATTCGAATCATTTTCGATTTACGTGAATTTTTTGTGAGAGAAAATACTGTAGCGAACCATGAATCATGATTCGAATCAGGGAACGAATCCCTCTAGAGCCCAAAATGATCCTAATCACTCCATCTGATCCTAATTTTTACTGTTTATTTTTGACTTTCCAAACACAGATTGGACCTGAATCAGGGGATTTGAATCCCTCAATCTCCCAACCAAACATGCACTTGATGTTTCACTTCTTTTAATACCCGGTGTGTCCCTACCCTTCTGTGAAATGTCTGATTTGTCCATTCTTTCTCTTCTCTTTTTGCTTTGCTAGGCAAGGGCTTTTTTGTCTTCTCATTTCTCTTCTCCTCTCCTTCTTCGTAGAAGCTCCTAGATTTTTCTTAGATAAAAAAAAAGTCATAGGCCTCGTTCACTTCGCGGATTCGAGTTTTCAATTCGAGCTGAGATATGACATTTTCTGAGAGCTTTTTATTGTAGCAGAAAAAATTAAATGTGACATTTTCTGAGAGCTTTTTACTGTGAAAACCTAAAATTAAAAACTCGAATCGGTGAAATGAACATGGCCATAGTCTCACCAATTCTCACTCTAGCCACACTCTAATACGTTTGTGCAATCCTTCACTCTAGCCGCCTCTCTTTCTACTATTCTCCCTTCTCTGTATCTTTGGATTTCGACAATCTCTGTGTGGGTTTGTGAGAGGAGGCCGACCATTACCAAAGACAAAGTGTTGTGGGTGTGAGCCCTTCATCACCTGATTTCTGTGTTTTTTTGGTTTGGGAAAGCAAGTTTTTCTCTCTTTTTTTTTTTTTTGTATAAGAAGAAAAATTCGATAGGTTCAATATGTGCCTTAGCCGCCCTTTCACTCTTCGATTTTGAGATTGTCCCTCAATCCCTGACGCTCTCCCTCTTTCGCGAGTGCAGAATAGAAAAAGGTTGGTAGGAAATAACTAATTTTTTTCTTGATGATTATGCTTTTTCTTCTTTCTAATGAGTATGAGTTTTTATTGTTTTTATGATGATCTTTTCTTTATAGACCTTCATTTTGCCCCTAACTTCAATTCCATCATGCTTGATGAGACCAAATTACTTGAAAAGCTTATCAGGTTTGTCAATAGTTGCAGGCATGAGAAGATTTACAACAAAAAAGACATAAGCCTTAACTGTAAAGATAAAACGGAATATCATAAAAAGAAACTATGAACAATTTCTCAGCTCCAGTAAGTAAGCAAAATAGGTGAATTAGGGTTTAGTTGGCAAAAGGTTTCGTTCTTTTCGAGTTAAAGGTTGGAAATTTCTTGGGATTTAGGTTTCAAATTCAATTTTAATTTCCGAAAGTAGGCGGGAGAATTTAGAAAGTTAAATTTATTTGGCTACAGATTTCAAATATGTTAAACTTGGTTTTAGTTAGGAGAATTTTATTGAGCTGAGATAATATTCTTTCTTAACTTTTTTTCTTTTCAATTTTGGTTATTAAATCACATCGAGTCGTTGTTTCATTTGATTTTGATTTTTTTACTGTTCGAATTTTGATGTTTTATTGTTTTAATGTTGGTTTACTTTTTAAAAAATAGTAGGAAATAGGCCAATATGAAAAACTTAAGAAAGTATATAGGCCAACTTTTAGTTATAGAAATTAATAGGCCATAACTTGTTAAATTATAGTTCATAACTAGATAAGTTATGGACAAACTTGTCAAGTTATGGATAAAAATTGAGAATAACTTGTCAAGTTATGGTTCATAACCAGACAAGTTATGGACGAAAATAGTAATTTGGCCTATTTATTTACTTATATAAACTATTGGTCTATTAGTTTTTTTAGTGTTGTTTTATGTGTGTATAGACATTTATGCATTTAATATATAACTTATCAATTGAACACACTTTCTATTAATTTTTAATTAATATAAAATTACAAAATTTTTATAGAATTACTTATCAATTAATTTCAGACATTAATAGATAACTTATCAATTGAATGCACTTTCTATTAAATAGATAATTATACATCGGTGCAATAGCACGGGTAACACACTAGTATCTATTAAAGGACGGAAATATAAATGATGTTAAATAGAAACGTCACGATTTAGTTTTAAGGGGAGAAAAGTCGCCAATCTAATTGGAGCTATTTTAAAACGATAATAGCCTAAGGCAATGAGATCAGGATTAAGTCGATTGACAAAAGCTTCAAAAAACGACAACGAACTAAAAGGCGATAACATATGAAAAGGAACCAATGAAATCGACAGAAACTTTAAATAACGACAACACAAAACATTAATATGAACTCATTAAACGACAACGAAAAAGCAAACGGCAGGACGATAGAAATTGAACGGGACTAACCTGATAGAATGAGGACAACTAAAAGACGACGGTAACACAAGAAAATTGACTACAGACCAGAAATGAATTTTTTTTTTTTTTTAAAGAAAAATTATAAATTCTACAAACTATATATTGTTACTCTAAAACTATATTAAATTACACAAAGGAAACACATCCGTAATGGAATATGATAAAACATCTTCAAGTCAATCGAAAAAACAATTAATAAAAACAAATAAGAGAAGTGAAAAAATTACAGAAAGACTCCCTTTCTTTATAGAACTGGAGTTTCCAAAGCAGTAACGTCAAAGTAAGCACTTATTTTAAAAGAAAAGGAATACGATCCGTGAGCTACATCATGCTAATGCCCTTAGAATAGGATTGCAAGTTTATATATAATGTCAGTGAAGAAAGGTCTTAACATTTTAAGATTATATGAGAATCAGATGTTTCTAATTTAGAGTATTTTTAACAATTGTTTTTTTAATATTTAAATCGATTCAAGAATCGTCGTTAAAAATCCTTATTAATTAATATTTTCAGTACAAAATGTGCAAATCGCCTCATTATTCAACCGTGGTTGAAGATGTAAGTATCTGGAAAGGTACGTTGATGTTAGCGTGAATTACAAGATTTCGCTCCCGAGCAGTTGGCTACACTTCTTGTTCTATAATGTCTAGAACAATATATAGTTATATTATAAGTATGTATGTATTTATGTATGAGTACTGTAATATTGGGCATATTCTTGTGACCAGCCAGAGGGCACATAAGTACAACAACCATGTATAGGTGAAGAATGCCGCTTCAAAGTTGAGTATATCTTCTTTTTTAATTTGGGGTTATTAATTTGTAGTTAACTATATCCGTAACCAGAATTATTGTTAAGGGTAAAAATGTCCGATCTCACATCGTCTAAATACAAATATAATCATAATCATATAAGGATATTAAAGCACACCACTTAATTAAACAGATTAATCTTTTAAGATGGAAACTCAATCAATACCTTATAAAGTGCAATTTTTCTCCCTCACTTTTCTTCTCATCTCTCTTGAACACTCTAATGATTATGTGATTAATAAAATTCAACATCAGAGCATTAGAAAAATAACCTAAAAATGAGATCAGTACACCCAACATCTGTTTTATACATTGTCTCCACATAGATTTAACCTTGACTCTACTTTGTGTCTTGTCTTATATATATACGAAGTAGCATATGAATATGTGATCATTGTAGAATCTAATAATTAATCAGAGATTAATATATATTTAGTCTTTTATGAGTTTGATGATTTCACCCGTGACACCAAGACACATCTAGCCCGTGAATCATCCTAGCTGCCACGTGTCCCCTTCTCCCTCTCTTTCTCTCTCTCCTTTATAGAGTTCTAGAGAGAGAGAGAAAGAGCACACTGAGCTATCTAGAGTTTCAGCAGAATCAAACATTTTTATTATTGCTGCATGTGAACCACTTCTGTTTTGGAACTTTGAGAAAAGATAGTTTCCCTTTTCACACCTTGATATATATTCCTAAGTGGTTTTGCTATACTGCAATATATGAAAATGATTATTGAACTCTTTTCATGCTCGTCAGATGAAGTAAAATTTAGATCGGAGAGAACGTGAATTCGATCCCGTATTATATGAAAAATATCATATATAATTGATAAAATAATTAGATTTTTTGTTATTATGTGACAGTTTTAACAACGACATGTATTGCATATTAACAATGATAAGAATAATTTTAGCATCGTGATTTATCATTTTAAATGACCATGATGCGTTAAAACTAAATTACATAGCAAAACATATTTGCTATATATATCAATATATGTCGGTAATCCACAGGCTTTTAAATATTTATGATTACGATTTTGTACTACCATTGATATATATGAATATTTATGATGATGGCATCTAGAAACAATTACTATATTGCTGCAAAATGTACATATAAATATCGTATCATGTAAAGCAGAGGTGCCACGTGTCATAGCTGGGAGCCACGTGATTCGCCCACTCAATGCACCACTCGATCATGAGGTCATCAAGAAAACAAAAGTGCATGCACCCAATACCAATGATGAATCAGAGCCTCACGATCAATTGGCGGTTTTGTGGGCCCACGAGATCAGTTAAAAACACAAACTACAAAACCCACCCCCTCATGAGAGAGTTACACACGTGACATATTCAGACAAAAACCATGCACGTAACAACGCAGGTTTTTCCTCAGTTCCATTTTCCCCATGACCAAATCTAGCCTCTACCCCACCAATTCCTTACATTTTACAAGGCAATTAGTCATATATATATATATATAATCACACACACACACACATATATATATATAGTTATACACGAGTGAATATATATCATAATTGGCTTTTGAATTGGCGACCATATATATTACAACAATTGCCAACTTCTCTTTCTCTCTCTCTCCATAGATTGATCTGGCCATATCTCTGCAAGTGATCAGGTGAATTTTGTTCATAGCAAGCCTACAATATTGTGTGTGTGACTTTTGTTGTTCCTGTTTGTTGCTATATAATATTATACTATATATTATACATGGTATCATGGTTAATTGTCTTAAAGTGGGTTTTACCCGGTCACGTGAGAGGGAAAATGCTTTATAGTAGTTGGGGTTTGAGTTATTATTAATAATGGATTCTTTTCATTAGACTTTTGCATGAGAAGGTATCAAGTAACTTGGAGGAGTTTTGCTTGGTTGAGATTAGGTCATGGACCATAGAAATTGGATGAACCCGTGAATGCTTTAATTCTGTTGTCGAGAACCTAACTCTCTCTGATCTCTCTCTATATATACATATATATATATATTCGTGTATATATATATAATATAATCTCATAATACAATTATATAGATGATGTCCTTCCTGCTTCCGTGGCCACAAATAGCTACACAACAATGAAGAGTCACGAGAGTGTTTGCTGTTACATCAAAGCCCACATTTAGAAGACCCCTTTCTCATTCTATATCCAAATATATTCTCTCTCCTATATATTCCAAAAAGTACGTACTACTTCTAAATTATATATCTATATACGACGAAACCACAAACACACACTAATCTTTAATTGCATAATTAATATTGATATGACAAGATCTGTATGCAACAAGTCATGAAGGATTGTGATGTATCTGAATTCTAATTAAATTAGTGATCATTTCATAAGTAGAGGTTGGACAACTATATCATAGTTGGACTAATTATAATTAACTAATTTAGCTAAAAGCTCAACAACGAATGGGAAAATAACAAAACTAATCCACGGGCAATAACAATTGGACTAAATTAATGGCGACGCTCATTTTTAAGTTTTAAGTATGGTTTTGTGTGTCAGATTATAACGTACTTAATATAAGATGCTGAGATTTTTCACACCCTGCTGCAACCATAATTATTAGTTTCCAAATGGAAGAGAGCTAATAACTTTTAACTTTGATCTGTTTGTTTCATGGTTTGAATTACAATTCAAACTTTTTTACTACAGTATTTTCTCTTATAAAAAATTTAAAATGATTCAAACATTTTTATTACAGTATTTTCTCATAAAAAATTTAAAATTTTCATTCAAACTTATAAATCAAACCTGTCATTCGTTAAAACAAGAAAAACAAAGAACCACATGCACATTATTATTATTAGTACTAGTAAAAGCATACACACACGCGCGCTTGAGGGAACAGAAAAAAGAGGAAAATTAACCCGTTTACTTCGCTGATTCGAGTTTAGAATTTGAGTTGAGATATGATTTTATGTGAGAGCTTTTTACTGTAGCAAAAAAGTTATATGTGATTGTTTGTGAGAACTTTTTACTGTAGAAAAACTCGAATTCTAAACTCGAATCAGCGAAGTGAACGGGTAGAGGGACCAGTGGAAACGTGGAATTCTTGAGAGAGTGACATTTGGCATTGGCACGAATTTCTAGAGAATGCTGGCCTCAAGCAAGTTCACAAGATCATTACTGTTCAATATCTCATGCATTTCCAATATTTATTTGTGTGTGTGTGTGTATATTTTATTATTTTTAACCTGACTAAACACCGCAAGAGCAATTGAGCAATAATATATAATTATTGTATGTATTGGAAAATAGTTAGGGAGAGAAGGAAAAAAAAAAAGGATGAAGTAGATTTATGGACCACATAACATGGACTAATTAAAGCAAAAATAAAATATTAGTATATGTATGCATGGGACAAAGGAAAGCAAGAGATATAACTAGGTAAGAATCCACTTATAAACAAAGAAGAGTCTGCCAGATTATATTGCCACAGAAGAAAAAAAACCAGCCTCCAAAAACCCCACAAAAGCCCCTTCACTTCTTCTCATCAAAAGCTAGCTATTACAAATAAATTAATCAAATAAAAAAAAAAAAGACCTCCAACTACTGCCCTAGAGACAACACTATTATAATCAACCACAGCAGGACACGTGGCAGCGTCAAACATCATAACAAGGTTCTCTTTTGAAATCTCTTTCAATTGCATTTGCATTATAAATTAGTCTCTTGCTCTTATTACGAATAATATTGGTTAAACACTCTCATTCATGCATTCTTCTCTCTCTATCTCATTTTGCTCTTCAAATTTCTCCAATATTAGTTCTTTTCTTCCTTTCTAATTAAAGCCTCTTCTTGAAGCTCAAGTGTTTTTTTATTTTTTTTGGGCCATCTTTCAGATCAAGAAGTAGAATATCATCATCCCCAAGTGTAATATATAATGGAGGTCATTCGTGGGGTTTTGGTCATATATTTGACCATTATAACAAGTGTTGTTAATGTTGAAGCAAGATATCACTACCACAAGAAGCAAAAGAACAAAGCTCCTCCTAATAATTCTCCTGCGCCTACATATGCAAATCCCCCTCAAGTGGTGCCCTCAGACCCTGCTTCTCCTTCAATTTCACCTCCTCCTCCTGCTAGTACTCCTCCTGTTCCTTCAGATCCTTACCCCAATGACCCCGTTGATTCCTCCGGCTGCGTCTTCGACGTCACGTCCTTCGGCGCCGTTGGAGACGGCTCTGCTGACGACACCGCCGCCTTCAGGGAGGCGTGGAAGGCTGCCTGCGCCGTCGAGTCGGGCGTCGTCTTGGCGCCCGCCAATTATTGCTTCAAGATCACGTCTACCATCTTCTCTGGCCCTTGCAAGCCAGGATTAGTCTTCCAAGTAAGTGTGTACTACATATTATTATTATTACTATTATAGAGTAAGTTTTGTATTTAAACTACTCTGTTAAAAAAATTAATTAAGCTTAAGCAATAGCTAACAACTAATATTATTGGTAATGGCAATAGGTGGATGGGGTGTTGATGCCGCCGGATGGGCCGGAGGAGTGGCCGAAAGCCGACAGCCGGAAGCAATGGCTTGTGTTCTACAGACTTGACAACATGAGCTTCACTGGAAGTGGAACCATTGAAGGGAATGGAGAGAAATGGTGGGATCTCCCCTGCAAGCCTCACCGGGTAATTCTGAGTCTTCATTGACTAATTTAATCACCTGTTTTTATATATATGTATGACAAAAGAAAATAATTAAAACGTTACTAATAAAGCTATAATATTCTTCTGTTTAATTCAGGGTCCCGATGGATCAACAATGTCAGGACCATGTGATAGCCCTGCTGTAAGTACTAAAAACTGATTATCTTGATCTTGATTAATTCAGTTGCTAAAATGCTCTAATTAAGGCCCACTTATAAAAATGCGCTTTTAGACTTCCTTGAAAATGAGGATCTATATATGTGGGGCCATTATACTGTCTTACTTACGAGTCCGATACTAATAAAAAATTGTTGAGACAACATTAATACTAAACACCATAACTAATAGAGAATGAACACCAACTGTTAATTCTATGTTCTAAGATTTACATTTTATTAGTATATGGTGCTTAGTATTATCGATGCCCCTTTAGTGTTATTTTGATTATAATTGATCTGAGATTTTCTTATAATTATTGATTTTTTCCTCGGGTTATATATGTGCTTTTCAGTTAATAAGGTTCTTTATGAGCTCCAACTTGGTAGTGAGTGGATTATGCATCCAAAACAGCCCTCAATTCCACATGAAATTTGACGGCTGTGAAGGAGTGTTTATTGATAAGCTGTCCATTTCTTCACCCAAACTCAGTCCCAACACTGATGGGATCCACATTGAGGGCACCAAGACTGTCGGAATATACAACTCATTGATAGCCAATGGTAGGCTAAAATCAATTATTAATTTCTTTTTCTTTTTTGGGTCACTTTTTATTATTCATGAGATTAAGACATTTGTAATATTTTACATGCGTGATTTAAACAGGGGATGATTGCATATCAATTGGACCTGGATGTGCTGATGTTGATATAGAAGGAGTCACTTGTGGCCCAAGTCACGGGATTAGGTACATTTTCATTTAATGTCACTCTCACACACTCCCAACTTTTTCCCAACTAGATTTCTAACAAGAAAGTTTTGTCTCAATAACTACATGTGCAATTATATCTTAGACAACAAAATCTATAAGAAGATGACATACAATTTTGAGTTATTTATCAATTTTTTAAGTTATAGGTTATTATTGTATCTTATTGTAGAAGGTTGTGTATTAATAATTTCAAATTAACTTATAATTTTATCACATCACCTGGCACACACAAAAAAAAAAAAAAAAGTAAACTTCAGTGCATAATTTGAATCCAATTCTTCTGCAGCATTGGGAGCCTTGGAGTGCACAACTCGCAGGCATGTGTTTCGAACATAACGGTTCGGAACGTGATCATAAAGGAGTCGGACAACGGGTTGAGGATCAAGACATGGCAAGGCGGGACGGGGTCAGTGACCGGAATACTATTCGAGAACATCCAGATGGAGAATGTGAGGAACTGCATTAATGTGGACCAGTACTACTGCCTGTCCAAGGCTTGCTTGAACCAAACCTCGGCCGTCTACGTAAACGACATCCAATACCGGACCATAAAGGGAACATACGACGTTAGGAACACTCCAATTCACTTTGCTTGTAGCGACACTGTGGCTTGCACCAACATAACAATGTCTGATGTTGAGCTTCTTCCTTATGAAGGAGAGTTGGTTGAAGATCCTTTTTGTTGGAACGCTTATGGGACACAAGAGACCTTGACAATTCCTCCCATTAACTGCTTACAAGAAGGGGAGCCAGTGTCTGTGAAGGAGAGCAACAAATATGATTGCTAAGAATTAGTATCGTCACATAAGTTTTGTCGATAATTTTTTGGTAAGGTATGGAAAAAAAAAAATACTTTTACTGATATTGTGTTGGTTTTTAAACATCACATCTTTATCAGATTTTGCCATTTTGCGTACTTTTATTTTTTCAAGAAGATAATATGATTTTAGTGTGATCTGACCGGTTTAAAAATACTTACCGATGTTTGTGTTGGTTTTTAAACTGAAAGATCATTTTGGAATCATATTCTACCATGAAAAAAAAGAGCACGCAATTAGGTGGAACTTGATGAAGATTTATTGGTCCGAAAAATGCAATATCAGTAAGAAAAAAATTTCTTTGCTCCACCAAAAAATTCTTCTAGGAATGTTTTGGTTGTCATTTTAGGTAGTCATGGAGAGTGATACTGTCGTTTTTCTTTTTTTCCTTCTCTTCTTTCTTTTATTTGGGGGATTATTTAGTGATATAAGAGAATACTGTATAGAGAGCCCAAGAGCCATTGACCTTGTTATGGGTCTTGATTCTTATGTAGGCTCCATCCCTATTTGGGTCTATCCCTTATTGTGTGATGAAGATGTTGAAAAGGGTCTAATATTATTTTGGGCCCACATTTTAATGGATTTCCCCTTTACATATATCAATGATAATATATCTGCATTCTTCAGTGATTTGCAGCTTTCTTTTTTCATGGATGTTCTAAATACCATTCCTTAACATCTGCACAAAAAATAATAATAATAATAATAAATTCAAGAACAAAATAAATAAAGAATATAAAATATAAAATATAAAATATAAAAATAAAAATAAAAAATAAAGGTCTCCTCGAGATTTCTTTGTTTCTTTTTGGGATATTTTTTATCCTTGTAGGAGTAAAGTATCCATTTTGAGTGATATTGTGTAACAATAATTAAATGAGAAAGTAACAGGAAGAAGAGAAGAGAAAGGGAGACTTAAAGTGGTACGCTAATATGCCTATCTTCATGAATTCGGAAAAAAGAGATGTTAACTAGTAAAGAGCATTATGTATTTTATATGACGTTACAAGCACATAATTAAATAAGGTACTCAATATTAGAATCAAGAAATGTCCTAATAAAAAATAAATATAAATAAAATTAAAACTATAATAAAAGTAACTTTCCTTAATATCCTTAATATGGTGGTGACATATAATGCGGAGCTGAAAATTTTAAATGCGTCATGTCACGTCTAAATTCAATTATAATACAACAATAGTACATACAAATTCCTCTAATGATGGGCATATGATTTATGCTTAGGTTTCTATTGTTCAGTTTGTTTCGTTAATTCAAATTATAATTTAATATTTTATTACAGTGTTTTTTTTATAAAAATTTAAATTTAATTTTTTCTTACATAAATTCACCTTTTAACTCGAATTCTTAATTCGAATGAATGAAACGAACAGATCATATAGTCACTCTTTTTTCTACACGAGTTAAGAGTGTCGTGTTTTTTAATCTTCTCTATAATTTTCTTTTCCAACATAACTTATTTAGTGCATGTTGCGTCGTATTTTACTCTCGTGCTAATAAGCCAATTCAATACATTTTATAACTCCGTGAATAATTAATTAATTTCAGCGATAAGACCATCTGTAACCGTAAATTCCAACGTCAATAGTAATGCTTAGTTACATTTAAAAGAAAAAATATGAAAAGTAATATATTTAATATCTTCTTCTATTTTTCGTTGAATGCATAATGTTATTTCAAAACAATATCACCATAAACTTTAAAGTTTTAATTTGTAAATAATTTGAAAATGATTATAAAATAGTGTTTTTATGGAGGAAAAAAAATATGATTCAACATTCTTCTACAGGAAAAAGTGAGAATTTAATATGAAAAGTAAGGGTGTTTTGGTCATTGCAATGTGAAGGGTGTTAATTTTGTAAGCTTTGCAAAAGGAACTTTCTGCTTCGTTTTGAAATGCAATAATGCAGTGATTTCCCTGCTCTAATTCCTCTTCACAGAGACAAGAAGAAACAAAGAAAGAATCACAACTTCGAAATCAATCAAGGTAAATCCTTTCTTTCTGTGTTTGGTTGATGATTATTCATCTTTCCTCATCCACAAATTCCTTTTTCCATTCATTCTTCATTCTTCATTCTTCATTCTTCATTCTTCGTTCTTCGTTCTTCATTCTTCAGTCTTCATTCTTCATTCTTCCTTCTTCGTTTCACGCCCGCAAACTGTTCGATCAATTGCCGCTTCGAAATTGCAACTCTAATTTCACTGGCTATCGTCTTCTTGAATTGAATCGTTAGGGCTCTGAGAGAAGCTGACAAAACAATCGAATCGAAAATGCCGTCGCTGCAAACCGCGCTGCCTCCTGAGCTCGCCAACAATGCCATTAGAGTTAGTACCCGACTCTTTTTTTTTTTTTTTTTTTTTGGCACAAATTTCTCCAATAACAATGTAACAATTTATGCCTTTTTCTCTATTGTAATGATTTTAGTTCTTCGTTTCGATTTATGAATATATGTATGGTTCTTCCGGTACTAATTTTGGGAGCAGTTTCGTTAGATTTCACTCGATTTGAATTGAAGAAAACGCTATTTATTGTAGTAGAGTTACATGAACTTTTACTGCATTTATATCGAGGTTTTGCTTCTTTATTGTCCTCTTGAATTCGTCACAAAATTCGATTTTGTGTCTCAAAAGTTTTTAATTCATTTGTGTTGAAGTTTTCTAATTTTGGCCCCCATTTTTGTAATGCAAATTGCAATGTTCTGTGGTTGTAGCTCTACCGCGAGTGCCTTCGAAGAGCCAAGTATATTGGTCACAAGGTAAGCCATAATTATACCTTTTTCTCTTAAAGTTGTTGTTTTTTTTTTTTTTTGGGCATTTATTTTCATGTATCGTTAGACATTGAATTACTGTTGTGGCCAGAGTTGATGATATTCCCATGATGAACGGAATGCAGAAAGTTGAGCAAGTTCCTTTTTTTTTTTTTGGTTTAATCCTAGTTAGACCCAATAATTTAGACGTGGATTAGAGAAGACAAAGGACTACGCTAGTAATGGTCCAAACTTGTTGATTCTAGCTTCCGTACTCCATGAAAAGTTGAAAACTGCGGAATAAATATTTAGCTCTGGAAATCTCAAGATAAGTTGCTAAACATTCATTAAACAAAATGACTTTTGGTTAACAAGTTTGAACTTGACGTAAGATATATGTGGTTGGTTGGAGTTTATGGATACATGGACATAGCAGCAGACGAATATAAACCAATGGACTTGCAAGAATATGTTGTTTATGGCGGAGCTGTTTCCGAATCCAAAATATTCATGAGAAAGTTTGGAACTTTTTTATTGTTTCTTTTGTTAATTGGGCAATATTAGACTAACGCTGAACTCATGATGCAGCAACATAATACGGAACTCCTTGTCGACATGGTTAGGCAGCAGTTCAAGAGACACATGCATGAGAAGGATCCGGAGAAAATTCAGAAGCTAAAGGACGAGTAAGTTTGTTTTACCTAGTTAGCCATGTCCATGTGAAAGTGTGGCATTATTGCTATGTTTTTAAGAGCTAGAAAGCTCATTGCAGACGTTTTTAGAAACAAGTGTGCCTTTCATGCAGTTCTTATTCGATTTTGTCGACATAATGTATTCTGTCTTCTGATATGCAGTGCGGCAAGGGGGCTTATAAATCACATGCTATATGAGTCTGAGAGTGTATCCGGTCGTAAATTTAGTAAAAACACTTGATGATGTTGGAATTTGCCTTCAACAGATTTGACTTCGTATGGCTGATGGTGTTTTCACAGCGAAAAGAGTAATAATGACAACAGTAGCTCCCTTTCGACTTCCCATGTTGTGGGGATTTCAGTTATGCTTGTGAAATTTGTGACTTTTTTTTTTCCTTCTTTGAGCTTCATGTAATTTACAATTGATTGTTTATTATTGCAGTTTTGATCATCCAACAACATCTTGGCATGTAAAATGCCTAAATGCATATCCTAATTAGTCATACACTCCTGTACTATAAGATTATTGTATGACTATAAAATGATTTACGGAAGCATCAAATGGCATTGTTGGTGCCTACATATCTTCGCATGCTAGAAAAAAGCTCGAAGCTTTAATTGCAGGGTGAAAAGCAGGGAATATTCCAACTAGGGCTTGATTAATATTTTTATCTCATTCTCGAGAGGAAGAGCACAAGAGTGATCTTGTTTGGAAGCCGGAATTTAGAGATAGGTCATAGGCGTTTAGATGCGTACAACTTTGATAAACTTGTGAATCTTTATGATTCCAACTATTAAAAACTGTCCATATCCAAAGGACCAAAAGATTATAAATTCCATGATGCTTTTATAATTCTTTTCATATGAGATTGTTCAGAATCATTATAGGTAGAAACTGCGGTACAAACATCCTATCCTGCCAGGAATGTATTTTATACCTTCCTCAGAAAATCGAGATGAGTACGAGGGAAGGGGGTCCGTTGCAGACTTCCTGCATTTTGATTAAACTTTCCCACCTAATATCAACCACAAAACGTTCTCAAGTGATACGCAATGCTTCATTCCACATCCGAGATGTATGTGCTAACCACTCTTCCCAAGGTTAGATTGTCTTCCTTCTCCAGTTCTCGGGCTGAATGGCCCTCTACCTCCCACTCGAGGACTCAGTTCAACTCTCAGTTCACTTACACGAGGACTATACCCCTTGTCCGAGAGACTTCTAAATTCCTTGGTTGGTGTTGCTGCAGAGCTCAATATCTTTAGACTGCATATGCGTCTGATCTCACCCCGGCTTCGAGTAATCATGCCGTCTAAAATCTCTCCATCATCTGCAAAAGAAGCTGTTCTACCCATCTCCCTATCCTGATACGAGAAAACAAATCGCACAAGGAGTTTAAACTAACATGTCATGGTAATAGAAGTAAATCATAAGCAGATTACACTTGTAACCTTTTCTCCTTCAAGGTTTCTTTTTGTGAAGGACAATTTAAATGGAAATGACTTGATAGCTTACTGTTGTTCGGCTGAATGATAGAGCAGGTGCTTCTTCATACTCAGCAGCATCTAAATCTTGAAGATGCGCAGCTTTGAAAAACTTGGGCAAAATGTATTGTCTCACAGGAACCAGAAGCATGATCATTAATGGGAAAAGAAGACCAGCAATGGGAACCCATGTAATCCCAAAACAAACAAGCAAGTAAACAGCCTGGAAGATTGTAAACACTGCAATCGTCTTGAAAGGTACAGTTTCAATAAAAGTGGCATGGGATTCTTCAAGTACTCTGAACAGGAAAATGGGTAAACTGATTCAGTCAATTTCGGTCAAAATAAAAGAAGATGGGAAAATAAATCGAGTGCTGATGGGCAAGTGAAGAGAAGCAAAACAGGATTAAAGAAATTACTTGTGTCTTCTGCTCGGAGCTGTGAAGAGCAGCAGAATTCTTTCCCAGAATTGGTTACCCGGTAAGCTTTCTATGGCCATAAAGGCAAAATAGCCCCAGAGAATTGAAGTTGGGATCTTTTTGATGAATGGCATTGCTGCAACACAACCTCCTACCATTGCAGCTTGAAGCAAGTTACTCAGCCGCTGTTCTTTCACCTCAACTGGCAATAAATCATCGATCTCCTTCTCGATATCGAACGTTGTCTCGTCAACTACAGCGTCTATGTTGCCAGTGCTTGAAGCCCTTTGAATGGTCGAGTCTTTTAATTCTTTTAGTCCCTGCACTTAAAAACTAAAGTTTAGCAAAATGTTGCAAAATCATAATAAGCTTATGCTGACAAGATCAAGTCCAAGAAGAAAGAGTTCTACTATGGCACTATCATTTTGGATTCTAGTGCAGTTATTTTTTTCAATTATGGCACACACCATTAGTCCTCAAAACATAAATGTATTGCAAAGTAAATCAGCATACTATTGCTGAGGGTTCCTGATAAATAAGTGGGGATTGCATCTGCTGATATGCTTCTTGCATGCTGCCATACACTTGCCCCAGGGTTGCATTCGTCCTCATGCATTTCTTTGCGGTCGCGACCAGTCGATTATGGAGCAACTGCAACATAACTAGATATTACTGGAAAGTCCAAAAGCAAGAACAGATGGGGGAATCCTCCAACTTAAGTTCTAAAGATAAATGAATGAACTTGAATTGGCAAGAGAGCAAATGAATCATGTAATATACAAGGAGAAATAGGTGGAATGATTTGCCACAGTAAGTTTATATGCTTTTACCTGGTGCTTAAGCGTTGCTAGACTTTTGGTATGCATGGGAGACTGTGGAATTACACCATTAGATGGAGGAATCCCAAGGAGGCCACATATTATGACCTGTCACACAAGGAAAACCTCTCAAATTCAGGTCAAAAGGATTCTATAAGCAATATAGTTCTCCATCTCAACATGAATATCTAGGAAGTCGGAAAGAAATTGAATCAAAAAGAGGAGGGAATGGTATCCGAGCCTGCCTACCATGAATCCCAGAAGAAGTAAATCATAATGGTAGGAAGGTGGTTTTTTGAGGTTGAATTCTTGTTGCTGGGCTAGTTGAGAAGCTACACTGTGGTCAAAATAGTACAGCACTGCAATCATTGTCGCTGGAATGAAAGCTCCGATGATATAGAGAACCGGTACATTTAGCATGTCCTGTAGTTTGAGAGAGAAAATCCATCAGGAACCTCCTAAAGCCTGAGCTAAAACTTTTATTAGAATATAACATCAAATGATATAGCAATGCCTTGATGACGGTCCAGTTCTCATAAGCGCCGGGTGACCATGGATTTGGACTGAAGAGGCGCCTTGGAATTCCTTCTGGAACGCTTCTCCCTGGAATATAGGAAACGGCTGTCCAGACTAAAACCATCAAAGGCACACCATAATCTGCTATGAAACCTCTCAACCAACCTGTGAGAAAATAAGACTTTAAGTTCCATGTTCTTTTAATCTACTTTTGTTACTGCAAGAACTGTGGAAATGAAATTAAACATACTTACCAGACCCATAACGCCAAGACCTTGCTTTTCGACTTCTCAATGCAGTAAGCAGAAGGCCAAATGACAGAACCAATGCAAACATCCCATTTGCGAATCTCCAGGCAGGTTGGAACTCGATAGCTTTTGGGTTTTCTCTTTCAGGTATGTGAAATTCATCAACAAGTCCCTAACAAAATCATTTGATAATTAGAATTATAGATAAAGAAGTAATAAGCAATTTACATATAGTTGTTTTCCAAGGAATTAGAAGAAGGGCTAAAAAGAGAGAAAAATACTTTGATTGCTTCCTGCATGAAGAGCACCGCAATAAGAAAGCCGAATAACTCCCCTGCAAGACGCGTGAACCTGTTTATTATCGAACACGCCCCTAATACAGCCAGCAAGAAGAGCAATACAGCGGTCCACACGCATACCCTACACATCAAAATTCAAAAGTAGAGACTTCATAAAGAGAGTTACAAAAGAAAATACACATAAATGTGAAGAATATTCTGTTTGCCAAAAAAATAAGGAGGAGATTAAAATAAAGAGAAATACCATCCTGTCCAGGCTAGAAAGAGGTCTGGCCCCAAATCTGGTCTGTTCTTAGCAAAGTTGAACATGAATGTGTACATAATCACAGTTGGCTCTGCAACCCCGAGAATCAACAAAGGCTGACCTCCTATGATTGAGTGTATAATTCCACACAATGCAGTTGATGCTAATGTTTGAACTGCCGTCAGAACCCCCTCTATCAACAAAACAAAACAAAAATCACGAGGAATTCAATATATAGGAAGAAGAAATAGAAAACAAACTAACTAACTAAAGAGGAGAGAATATAGTTACCAGTATTTCTGTCCAATTGTTCTCCGAATGAAATCACTGGAATTGCTGATGCAAAGAATATGTATGTAATGGGTGCCAAAATCCTGAAAGAAAGTACAAAAGAGTGACAAATTAAGCAAAACAAAATAGACCAATAGCTACGCAAGTAAAAGTAAATACAAACTCAACATCACCACACCACTGAATTATCCAGTGATATTTCCATAAACACAGGCATGCTATTTATCCTTGCCAATAGTGAAACTCAAAGTCTCCATGATCACTACATTTCAGCCAGCGAACGTTATTTACGGCAACATGCATACATACATACATACATACATATATATATATATATATATATAGTTCATTTATCTTCTCTAATTAAGAAGAAGTATATACCTGAAACCTGCTTTGAAGCCACCAGTCCAGTCTTGTTTGTAACACATCAACCTCCCTCGAAGATCATTCTTGATCCCTCGAAACGGCACAAACATTTCTTCCATGGTTGTTTCTCCCTCCCTTAGTCACTCTCGAGTGCTTAAGCAACAACAAGTTGTACAAAAAGAAGATTTGCGACAAGATTTGCAGAGAAGAGATTTAGGACAATGAATAAAAAACACTAGTTTAAACAAACCTCAAGTTATCATATCAGAAACAGATATGATTGGATTATATTTATACATGTTAATGCTAGTTATAACCAATCACAAACAACCCAGATGATAGAGCTGGCCGGAATATTAGTGAAGCTATATCAAAACCCAAAAAGAAGTACTAATTAATCTTCATTAGAAAGGGTAACGGCATTAGATATGATTCAGATACAACAAAATATACAAAATTAAATGGAGAAAAGTGTTGCAAGCAAAGCTCAAAATATATAAAATGTATAAAGAAAAGAAAAGAAAAGGAACTGTAGATTTGATGGTAATGATGATAATGTGGGACAAAACTCAAAAGCGAATCAAATGGAAATAGTAGATTTAATGCTGATGGGAATGTGGGTCGAGAGTAAATGAAAAGAATACGTGCACAGCAGCAGAAACAGAAAGAGAATTCAAGCAACAACAACAACAACAAAAAAGTAAAAAATATAATAAGGCTACAATACAACTAAAGTAGCCAGCAAAAAGGCAGTTATATACGAAAGGAAAAGGGAAAATTAATGTTAAATAAAGACATGGGAAAGACTACAGATTCAAAGTAGATGCAATGTGAAAATAGTTACCAGCTGAAAGCACTGAAAGCTTAAAGGGGAGAGAAAAAAATAAAAAATAAAAAAGTAGTCTTTTTTGTTGTCTCCTTTATTGCTTTTAAGGTGGAGAGAGAAGACAAAATATTACAGCTTTGTGTGCCTAGGAGAGAGAAAATTTATGGACGCGTTTAAAATATATTTTAAAATAAATTTATTTTTTTATAAAAATAAAAATAAAAATATTTTTAATTTTAAATATAATTTATTTTTAAAAATTTATTTAATAATTTTATTAAGAGATTATTTTCAATATAAAAAATTTATTCATGTCTTTATTTTTTTTTCTGTTTGAAAAAAAAAAAAAAATAATAATTAAAAATGATTTTTAATTTATCTTTCATTTTATAATAAATTAAAAATTATTTTTATTTCTATTTTTTATCTTTATTACACTATAAACATCATTTTAAAAATATTTTTATTTTTTAAAAAATAATATAAAAAATAAAAATAGGATCAATTTTAAACACCATCTTTGTTTTTATTTTAAAGAAGACGAAACATGAAAGTGCTTTCAGTGCAGATGACACGAGAGAGAGAGAGGTGCCTGAGTACTTCTTTGTTCTTTCCAGGCCAGCTTATCTGTCTGTTTCTCTTTTCTCTCTCTTGCGATGTTTTGTTCTCATTTCATAAGAAACTAAACAAAACTATAATAGTGTTACATAATCCTTTCCGATTATTCTACAGTAGGACGTACAGTACACGTATAAACAAACAGTTTCTGCTATAAATTTAGCATTAAAAAATAAAATCTTATTAATAGGTGCAATTTTTTCGGGTTCTGTACAAATCTCTTATTTAGTGTACCATTAAAGGAAATCACTTGTATGATATTATTGATGTAGCTGTTTCGTAACTCACCCACAAATCATATAGGAATTCTTCTTATGTTATTAGGATGCAAAATATATTGTATTTGTCTTTTTTTTTTCTTTTGCTTGAAATATTCTATTTGGTATGGAATATTGTTAAATATCATATTTTCATCAAATAGTGTGAATTTGACAATTTAAAACTGCTCTCAATCTATCAGAAGAAAAATAAGAACTG